AGGTTTCCGATCTGCATTGTTTTTTCAATTTAAAAGTATAGAGTTGACTATTTCCTTTCACCTAGTTCTAATGCAATTCTGGTACACGATTAAAAATGTCATACTACCCAAATAAGAAATCAGAAATATCAATGTAATAAACGGCTTCATTCACTTTTGAAATCTATTTTTTTAAAGTGATTAAAGTGCGAGTTCAGATATTTTTTCATTTGCTAAAATGTCTCTATTAACATTGTAATATGCGTATTTGTGTAATTCATAATTTTTCGTGAGTGCGATTCTCATTTCAATTTTCTTCCATACACAGGAATTGTAGTTATGTGAGAATTATCCGCGTATACTGGGGGCCTAATGGTTTACAACTCGTTGCTACCTGTGTGCCATAACGAAAACATATGCTTTTGGTAACCATTGACTGTCAGCGGAGAGTCGCGGGGCTCTGCCCAATGAAAACTTCAATTACAGCGGAAAAAAGCCGCCGCCTCTTGCGGCCGGTCACTCAGCGCTCTCAAGGTCGAAGATATCCACATTCCAACATATTACAGCTCATAGCTCACCAGTAAGAAGCTATTTTGCAGTTTCGGCCAATACCAAAATTGTCTCTGATTTTCTCCTGCAGTAGGTGTCAAGTTAACATATTGTGACGTAGTGAAATAAGAAATAAATTTCAATAACAAAATAAAAATAATATTTTCAAAGATTATGTACAAGTTACAATGAATTGCTAATTTTAAAACACTCCGGCAACCTTTTCCTTTCAGAACACTGCTTTACCGCAGAAAACACAAGCCACGCGTGATGCGCGCTATCGGACCTCGGTCCCGTGACAATTACCGTCACATGGCCTGACGCCAAAATTTAACCCGGTCGTGGCGACCGTGTGCCTACAGCACGTGAGATTGTCTGGCCCTTACTCTCCGGACATCTCGCCCTCACTCCTACACACCTCGTACATACACGTACAAGCTTCCCGATGCAAACTGAATGAGAACGCGGGCGCAGATGGCGCCGCGTTAAATAGTTGAGGCTGACACCCCCACCACTGTTCCATAGATAGACTCGCAGGCCAGCCTTGGTTTACGCCCCCACACAGAATTCTCAGGTTGGCTGCCTGCTTCCGTAAACGAGGCTCGCCGGCAGCATCCTCGGAGTTTACAGCCTCCGGTATTTTTGGCTCTGCGGCACTACCCGAGTCAACCGCCCGAGCGCAAACTCCCGGATGTACAGGCTAAACCCCTTCCTCCCCCGCAGCGTACTTTCATCAACCTAACGGTTCTGGCCCTCGTGTTAACGACGCCACAATATGCTGTGATGAAGTACAGAATTGGATGATAACCGGTTTGAAATGTTTGAACAACCCTACTTTTGTACGTGTAATTTACCAGCACAGGAGATTCGACACAAACCGAGCTTTCTATTCCTTTATGCTCGTCTGTGCTCTTGTTGGCATCTTGTGCAAAAGGTCATGTGATATAGTATTGCAACCTAAACTTATGAACCATACATGAACTTATTTAAAGAACTAATGATCATATTTAAATAACGAAAAAATACCTGTAATAAATATTGTACTTTTGAAATAATACTGTTTTGCAATTTTCGGCAAAGCTGAGATTTCATCGAAAATGAACCTGTGCTATTTAAAATGTCTTTTGGTTGATACGAGAAGAAAATTAAAGAAAATATTTGAAGCCGTTCTTGAGAAAATAAATATATAAAATTTGTGTATATCTCTTCCAACATTCCGCGAAAACTAGTAATATTTTCGAAAACTTTAAATGACTATTTACAGATGTCTTGTTATCTCTTGAAATATCCCCGCTTTCTGCAGAAACATTACAATACTTTTTGTGTACTACGTAAATACGTAGTATGGCAGGTAAAAAACAATCTATTGAAACAATGTACAGAGGAACTCACAACATACATTTAAATAGAGAAAATATGTATATTTATAAAACTATTATACATATTTACGCCTTATTTTTTATGCACTAGGGCACTGGCCCAATGTTTGCATGAACTTTAAAGCTATTATTGAGCTATCTCGACTTTTGTTGCTAGTGCAGTGGGCGAATGCACGAACTTGGTTTCCATGTTTTCGTTTCCTGTGTTTCCGTTTAAGAATTTTCAATACTTTGAAATTAGCATGAGACCTGTTGCAAGGCTTTTTATGCGAATCGAGCTCCCATTACAGAAACAGGGAACACTACTTCAACAGAAGCAGCATATACACTAGTCTTATCTCAAACTCTCTTCATATGCGTCAGGCGCAACATCAGGGCGTGAAGAATATTCAACATTTCTCTGAAAGATAGCTTCCAAGAATACGATGCTTACATAACTCTTCTTGTGCGTTGCTCACACAAGGGACAAGACCGAACAACCTTGTTATTTTGGTAAAACCACTAAAATATTATTCATCGAATGATATGCTTTCTCGACAGTTTATAACTTGGAAAATACAACGTACACCGTCAACAAAACATTAATGTCATGGAAGAAGAACCTCTTTAACGCCACTTCTCGGAAAGTCAAAATAGGTATACGAAGTGGAAATTTAATATTGTGAGATATTTGATTCATAGTGTTTTCTTGCTTACTATTAGGAAGAACGTTGAAAGTGAAAATGAAAGTTACTATTAGAAAGAAGTACGGGAGTAATATCGACCAATTGATATTTAAAAGTAACATTTTCCACTTGAAGGGAGTAAAGTATTACTGAATTAATTAAGTAATTACTTAAACAGTTGCGAAAAGTAAGTGGGCTCTGATGAACAACATTCCCAGCCGAGTTGTTTCCCTTCGAATTCTTTTTCAAATCAACTAGCATTTTTGTTTTGGATTTCCTTCGAATAAATCAGAGTCAAAATTTTAGTGTTCTAATAATTCGAAGAAAGTTCCAAACTATAACTAAACGAACTGATCTAATCTTTTTTTATAAAAATGTAGTTATCTTGTTAATGTAGTTAAAATGTAGTTATCTGTTAACGCCTTTGGTGTATAGACTTCTTATTGGTCATAAATGCAATAGGTTTTACTCATCGCGAAATGCAAGAGTTGAAAATTTCGCAATTAAGGAGCTCCCTTGGCAAAGCACTTACGTCTAAATTTGTGACTTTACAGGAGAAGCAAAAACCTGTATAGAAACTCTTGTTTGAAACAATTATGAGTTTAAATTTCATTACATGTCACTGAAAACCAATGGATGTTCAAAAAAGTTAACAAATGTTTTTGAAAAAATAAATTATCCAAAAATATTGTGGTAAAAATCCCTATACTTTGCATCTAGGTATTCCACCATAGCAGGTGTTTTTTCTCTTAACCTCGGTGATGGCTGGGGCTCCCTGGATTCGTGGCAGATTAAATGCATCAGTAAGTGATCGGTGTTTCGAAAAAACTCCGCATTGCATCCAGTCCTCTATTCCGTTGAATGTCTAGCCGCGTTAGAACGTTTCATAATCCTTAACACACAAAGGAGAGTTTCAATGCCATTTTACCTAATTATGCGAATTCGTAATAGGAATAGCCTATTAAATATATTAGTTATAAAAAAAGACACCCAAAACAAGCGTCGTAATTAGAATCTAGACATACTTCTCTTTGTCAAGTCGCCTGGATCCCATGTTGCGGAAACGAGAGAGAAAGCAATCGAAACAATTCTGGGTCATAAACACTGCACTGATATGGGCGTTTCAGCTGGTTCAAGAAATAAAAACAAAATCAAAAAAGTTATTACTTTGGACTCCAGTGCTTTCCCACGGTAGCTCCTCAATTTAGTATCTTCGGAGGGAAAACGTTGAACTTTGTGGAGACGAAAGACGGTGGCGGAAGATGGCGGTAGAGGAGACGAAACATGGCGGTTAAGAAGATTGAGACTCTTTTTGCTTATTTCATTGACATAACAAATTTAATAACATAGAAGGTATTTTAAAGCATATTAATTAATTTATTGAAATATATTTTAATTCCCATTAGTATTCTAATTAATTCTTATTATGAGACCAGTCTGTGATCCGTTTTGTTTTAATGCATGATCTTCATTTTGAACATGAACAAGTTAGCGTTCTGTGATATCATGTTCTCGAACAAACAAACAAAAACAAACGAACAAACACAGTAATAGTAATAGGTATACAAGTACATCAAGGCATGCGTTCATAGAAGATGAATGTCGAGACTGGATCGGCCGCCTGGGAAGCCCTTTCTGGTGAGAGTAAAGAAATGGGTCTCCTCCCAACCCTGGCTGTGTGTACAGACCTCCGCGAACGAGGTGTTGGCGAGCGTTTCTTCTCCCTCGCTGATTAATTCAGCTCGACGTCATAACCGCGTTACGGCTACGTTAACCGGCGCGCGCTCCTACACCAGCTGATTAAATAAAGGCCGGCTCGGGTAATTAGGGAACAGGCCGGTGCCACCCGGGCCCTCGTCCTCGCAACTAGCGCCGAATCCACCCCCGCCCGCCGACACCCCCGCCGCTGACCCGCGCTGCCGCCCCGCCACCACCAGTGCCCCGCCCCGGCCCCCGCCCACCTCCACACCGCAAACGTCGCCCCCCGCCCCGCGGCAGGGCCGCGGTTTTCGCGTTAAGTTTTCATCCCCTGCTTGCCTGGCCAAACGGCCGAGTTTGACCAGTGGGGCAGTCAGCGCGCGTAACCCGCTTAGGGCAGCGCACCGGCCGCAGTTCAGTGGCCGAGAGCGCCAGTTCGACCGACGCGACGGCAACCCCCATGTTTCCGGCCTTCCCACGGCCTGCCATCGTGACTCCCTTCAGCCGCATTTCCCACGTCGCTTGTCGCGATTGGATAAATGATCCAGCGCGCGTTCTCAGTTCGAATAGGTGACCTTGATTCAATGGTAGCGAATATGGTTTGCTTTCCATGGCGTAACAGTTGCTATTAAAATGATTTCACAATTTGGTTAATATTTCCTTCCAATTAACATCTATTATAATTATGTGAATTAATAATTATCATTAATAAAGTTTCCATTTTTTCCAGAATGGTGTTGATCTGCTTTACACGAACGTATTTCGAATTTGGTATGCTGGCTATCATGACGTAATTCGCAATTTCGTAATCTCCCTAAGGCAATAGTGTTCCTCAGGGTGCAAAAAGTAAGTAGTTGTGCATTATTAGTTTTTATTTGTTCTAGGAAAGTGCATCAAAACATAAATATTGTTACACCACGGTGTATGAAAAGTAAACTAGAGTCTGCTAGAACAGTAAATACTTTCTAGCAATTTTTTTTAGCCTTTTACAATTTTCGAAAAATTCAGAGAGTTCAACGACAAGGAAACCTTCGCCGTTTTTTTAAAGCGACCTTTGCGGTAATTGAGGGGAAAAAAGAATTTGGAGCCGCTTTCGAGAAAAAATATAATTGTCTTCATTTTAAGTTAAAATTATGTAAAAGCTACTCATGTTTTCGAAAATTGTCATGACTTTATTTTAAGTTGTGCGTTTGAACAAAATTTAGTCAGAAAATAATCTCTAACTTCAATATTGTAGTTGTAGAAAAAATCCGAATACATCTTGAACTTTTGTACTTTTCGAAAATTGAAAGTTTAATAAAAATTAGACATGGTTTGTTTTTAGTGTTGTCTGCTCAATTCGAGGAAAGATTGAATAAAACATTTTTGAGAAAACTTTGAAAATGTTTTTAGGGCTTCATATAAAGTACCCTAAAAATCAAAATATCCATTTCGAATTCGAAGGGTCTCGAGTTCTTCCAAATCCATCGGGGAAAATCAGTTTTGGACAAAATCGTGTAAATGATTTATACGCTAGCGTTGATCACGGGCGTAGAGATAAGACAGACGTTCGTCGTCAACTATTATTTCGATGTCAAGGATCCACAAAACAAGGAATCTGACTACACAACGTGTTAGAAGATCTTTACTAGATATTCGAACAAGTTTTATCCATTTTTCCGATATCAGATCTCCACACGTTTTCTTTCTATGAAAATAGCCGTTTTTGTTGCGGCATTACAATGCTTCCTCTATACTACGTAATAGTGTGCGATAAAGTGAAAAGCAATGGGCGACGAATTTGCTGAAAGTAACAGTGCTAAGCAATCACTCTCAACATTCAATTGCTGTTTCAGTTTCGTACTCCCGACCACGTGGTTAGAGTCCTCATGATTCTATCCCGCCTTTTCAATCGGAACCTCCGTTTGACACGCTTTTGAATTTGTCCGCAAAATTAAAATTTCTGCTGTAAAAAACAGATATTGTGGACCAAAAGAAACCAAGAAAAATACCTAATTTCGCGTTTTCAATAACGGCCTGAATGCTTATTTCTCAACATGTGAATCACAAATCAGAACGAAAGTTCTTTCGTTCCTTCTAGCCCTTCACACACGTTTACGTATCTCGTTCAGTAATTCGCTGAACCATATAGCATTTCGCCTGCTAGCCTTTTTTCATCAAGAGAAATGCGGAACCACACATCTGAATGCTTTCAATATGTTGCTTCACTTCCAATATTGTCACAACAGAATTGCAGAGGCAACGCAACTACACTGGAGAATAATAGAAGACAAATTCCATACCTTAGTTAAAGCTCATGCATCTTCTTTCCATTTACTTTACTTCATAGATAGTTCCAATTCGAATGCTCGAAACAGCGGAAAGCAAGTAAGTGTTCACATACTGATTTACTTTATAAACTAAGCGAGTCTCACCGAGTGAACGAGTACAATCACTCTTCCGATTCTTCCATCAATTGCCCGTCGGTGGTTCCGGATATAACCGATGTGTCCGAACTCGAAAGCTCCTATTTGAAACACTCGGAAGCCAGGCTCCGGCTTTCAGCACCGTTTAATTTATATTTTAACAAATTGACTACTTGAAAAGAGATAAAGAGTTAAAGATATTGAAGTCCAGTGTTAATTACATCATTGCAATTGGTCATTTTGCTAAATTTACGACTAAATTGAATTAGTCAATCTGCGTCAGGGCTCATCAGATTGTTGCATTAGAAGCAAAGAGAATCCTTCTGTGACCTGTGCAAGCGTCAGGATCAAAGGCAAGAGCGAATCGGAGGGTGGGGGTGGAGTTGGTGGTGAAAAGCTGTTGTAGGAAGGGGATGAAAGTTCACATATGATCAAAAGACATCTTTGTGAATGCGCGCTTCAAAAATGCGAGTACTTGAAGTTTGGTTGCGCGGACTAAAACTAATGAAATTCGCTGCGTAGTTATCAATCGAGTATATACGTGAGTATATACATGTTTATACGAGAAACTTTGAGTGGGAGATACGCGAATACTGGATAAAATATAGAAGTTAGATTTCTCAAAAGGCGTAGAAGGCAGTGGCAAAATATTAAAAAGTTCCTCCGTAAGGTGAGAAAGTAAAATGGATAAGGACGATGAAACATGGTTAACGAGAATTCGCAATGCGTTAGGTTCTTGTGGAAAGATAATATAACAGGAAATTGAAGAAAAGGTTGAATTGGAAAAGAAGCTAGTGCTTTTAGAGGAATATAATTAGGAGCAAAACTTTGATTTCAGTGTTGATTGATTCTTTGGTTCAGATTCATTTTTGTGTTAAACGTTTACGAGAATTTTAAAATACTGTGATTTTTCTGCCATCTTAAAACGTTTTTCCGTTTATTCGTCCTAGGAAAAATGAACGTTTTCGGCCATATTAGAGTTGTGATCCGTTAATTGCACTTAATGACATGTAATAATTATTACACCCTAACTATTACACATAAAATTATTAACATTACCTTATACTCTCGCATCGAATCTGTGGTAAAAGATCAATCGTGCATGTACTACGACGTTGACTAATCTGAACGAACACATTACACTCAGACATACACACTTATGTATACGTACTAACACACGCGTAAACATGCATTCACACAATTACAAATACATTCACACATGTAATCGCATTTTATACAAACATACATGTACACACTCAAACACACGCAATCACAAACCCACACTATTCATACATTCTACACACATGCACACACTAGTATGCTTACCCACCAAGTTTCCTTGCTCACGACCTTGATATGCCTGCCCTAAAAGAAATATTTTGTCTCGCAACAGAGCAAGCTACATTCGGCAACGAATCACTCATCAACGGGGCAAACTCGATGCTCTTCTCCTAAAGCGCGAAACGTTAAGTTCCGCACAAGCATCCGTTCTGGAGCGAAAACCATTCAATGAAATACGTGCTACTGCAAAACAGCCGAGAAAGGCGATTGTAGAGACAAATTCGCTCTTCGGAAGGCGCCATACGCCCAAAACTCCCGCGGATGTTATCGTCACCAAATAGAAAGACGAGAGCGAGGGAAAGAAGGAAGCACTTGTAAGCAAAGGGAAGACAAACTTAGGAGGACCTTGAGGAAAGCAAAAAGTTTGGAGAGGCGTACAGACGTGGGAGAAATGCATAGCCGCAAATCGAGAACATTATATCACTGTGAAACCGTCTGACATAGCTAAGGGCATCAACTGATCCCAGTGCAGTGCCTCTCATCGGGGCATAGGTTTCGAGTCCCGACGATCGTATGATTTTTAACCCTAGCTACATAGATAGATCGAATTTAGCCATTGTCTGGAGGGCTGGCTGCTCTGATCCGTAGTTTTTTGTGGTTTCTCCGATCAACACCAGGCGGATGCCAGAGCAGTACTGCGAAATCGTTGCGGCCATCGGGACTCGAACCTATTATCTACCGATCAGAGTGACAGCAGTGACATCAGTTGATGCTGTCGGTCTGAGGAAAGACAATGTTTCAGTGTAAATAAGAAGTAAAATTATATGCTAAAGTTATAAGAGCTGCTAAAATGGCAAACTGCTTCAGACACTGTAGTTTCGGGTTATTCTCCAGTAATTTGATTTTTTCGCGTGAAAATACAAAAAACAAACAAATGGAACGTTAGGCAGAGAAGAATGAAGTGGCTCATTTATTTGAGCTCTAGAATCCCATCTTTTTACTACACATAGCTATTTGAATGGTGAATGAAAGCACTAACAAAGCATGGATAACATTTAAAATCTGCAAATGTTTGTTCTCGAGTAATAATAATAATAATAATAATAATAATAATAATAATAATAATAATAATAATAATAATAATAATTCAGAATTATCCACGAATGAGGTGAATCCAATACTTGAACAATAGTAAGAAAAATCGTGTTAAAAAAGCAATTCAATTTTTTTCTTCCAGAAGACCACAGAAGGAAAAGACACAAAGTTCCCCGTTTCTCCACCATGACCGCAAATATTTTAGTAAAAAATGTCGTTTCCTTTACATTAAACAGTATCCAAAACCGTTGAATTCTATCTTAAAATACCGACCTATACCTGTTCTTAAGGCTGAATTTGAGTATTTTCCCTTCCTGCAAAATTGTATTTCTAGTCAACACGCCACTTGGTAATAAGCTCTTTCTCCCGGATGGGGCTGTGCCCCTCTGGTGGGAGATATCTGGTTAGGTGAAAACCCGCCAGCGTAGGGAAAGATCACCGCCACCTCCCGAGCAAAAACGTGCAGTTCAATTACGGGACTAATAACCCTGGTAGTTGATGTGCCAGGAATCACTGCGCACACAAACTCACAAAGAATTGAAGGACCTGTGGCAGTGACTCATTTTCACCCAAAATCGCACGGGAGAGATGGATCAGTTCATGAACCGATGTCATGATGTCACTGCAGCGCCTCTGACGGGGAGGTCCTATGTTCGAGTAGCGACAGTGTCGGGATGTTCGGCATTAGCTTGTCATCTAGGTCGAAGTCAGTCGCCGTCTGAAGTCTAGAGGCTGGCTGCTCTGATAGGTACTTTACCGTGGTTTCTCCTATCAAAACCAGGCGAATGCAGTACCCTAAGAAAAAGGCCATGGACCGCGTGCAATCTTTCTTTCCTCTTCCTTGTTCAATCTTCACCCCTTACACTAACATGCATTACACTACCACACACATGCCGAGAGACCGGTCGGGAGCTTAGAGCTTGTCCCGGTTGGGACGGTGCTGGGCTGGTGTGAGATACCTGGTTGAGGGAAACACGCTAGCTGACGGTAGATGGGCGCCGGATCTCGCCATCTAGCGGGGGAAGATTACAGCCACGTCTCGCCGGAAAAAATGCACCACACTTACGCGACTAATGACCCAAGTACTAGACGCGCCAGGAATCACTAACAACCGGCCAACCAACCCCAAATCCCACCGAGTAGCTGAAGGAATATACATAACGCTTTCTTGGCCAAAATATCGTCGGAAGTAGTCCGCGCCACCTGCGCGCGGCGAGGGAGGCAGCGGGCCCGCCGCGCCACTTCCCACCCTGGGAGCGCCTAATTCGGCGACGATAGCATCTCATCTTGATGGAGACCGACGGCGGAGCAGATGCCGCTTATTACGTCGCTAATTTGCAATGCATTGCAAAGCGCCGTAATTGGGAGACTCCGCCGCGGCGCCTCAGCCGCCCGCGACATCGCGACTTCCCGCGGCGACGCCCCGACGCCCCGACAACCACTGCGGCCGGAGCGGGTGGGAGGGACCTATGGGTGAGGGCCGGTGGCTGCCGTCCAATTTAATAATAATAATAATAATAATAATAATAATAATAATAATAATAATAATAATAATAATATTTATTGAGTCACATATACAATTACAATCGCGTATGACGAGTCAAATATGATATAATTACATCTTGGGAGCAGCGAGTGAAGTTACATTAATTTTTATAGTCCAGAAGCAAAACAAGGGGCCATCTCAGCATTTGCACAAAGGACCAGGGATACTGGACAAAAAACCTGATCAAGATGGGGTCATTGGCCTAGTGATTATACAATACTTGTTACAGATATATTAAGATATTACATAGAAGATAAATATTTTTAGCAGCAATTAGTTGAACATTTGACTGACTTTGATTTAATTTGAAATATTTTAACATTTCATTTTTAGATTATCATTTTCTTGATATTGTGATTTTACTGCTACTACTTATAATAATAATAATAATAATAATAATAATAATAATAATAAATGTAATAGATAACGTTTAATGTGAAATTTAAAGTGAATTGTAATATGGTAATTACGGAGGCAATGTTAAATAGGTGACTTGTTTTGGTTTTTACTGACCGGGAGGTCCTAAGTTCGAGTCCCTACTGTGGCGTTTTCATTGTTGTCAGAAACTTTTTCGGTAATAATAAAGCAGCAAATTTTGCAGAACTGGTGCAAGACTTGCTTTTAAACTTTCAAAATTTGAGTTCAACTACGAGGATTAGGCTACATTATCTTCATAGCCTTCTACAACTTTCCAAAAAATCTTGGCAGTATATGTGAGGAACAAGGCGAGCGTTTCCATCAAAAAATAAACGTGATGGAAGATAGATATCAGGGTAGACACACGATGGCAGACTACTGCTGGAGCCTTCAACGTGATTGACCTGATTTGTCTCTTAATAGGAATTCATATATTTAAAAAAAATAATTATTTTGTTGCGTAGTCATTGACGCAATGCGTCTCTTAAACCATTGTTGGGCGTCGAGCGCCTGCCTTGGAGTAATCCTCCGTCATTTACATTGTCAAGTCTCGTCAGTCGGTGCCTTTTATCCCTTCGGCCACGGGCTCGACGCCGTTATATCCCGCGATTCCAAGCTGGGCACTCAACCAGGAACCCGCGAGTCCAGATTTATGATTCGCTCGACCTCTGTGACGTCACGGAGCGTAGTAAACGCATTCGGCTAGCGACCCCGGCTGCTTATGATATCTTTCCTTTCTGGCTGTTATTATAAATATATTGAATATCTTAATTACGTGTTTCAAGTGTTTGATTTGGAATAAATATGCGTATCTAGTTTCATTTATTTCAAGTGTTATGCAATTTACGAATATTCTGTACTCAATAAAACAAAATAACGAGTCTTTCTGGAGAAAGGTTTTGCTGGATAGAATTTGCAAAATTATAATTTGAGTATTATGTGTCTATCACAGATAAAACGAGAACGTATGTGCTGTTGTAGCTTTGGATTGTTTGTGATATTTTTTAGCGTTAAAAGAATGATTTTCATATACATATGTCTACAATGTTCGAAATATTATATTCAGTTGATAAAAGATGATACTGAAAGTAATAGTCGTCCAGCACTTATATGTTGAAGTGTAGTTGTTTACTAATTTTTGTTGATCACTCGTTCATACATATCCTTCAGCTGATTCTTAATTCTTCTATGATTGAGAGCTCTCTTTAATGTTATCGACGCAAGCTTGTGGAAATTATTCTTACTTGTCTGTTTAATGTTTTCCAAATATTATTACAATTGTGATTTAATCATATTTGTTTGTTTTGTAGATGTGTAAGAAATGACAACTATTCTTTGCTTGCTATGTAATTACAGGTTATCACCTCATGCGGTTAGATTGGTAGGGAGTTTTACAAGTGATGACTGAGATGTATTGTACGGACATAAATTAGTTGTTTATTATGTGACTTACTAATGCGAGAAAGTACGTGCTGTTGGAGCGTGTTGTAAGTGAGCGAATGGAGTGGGAGAGAGAGAGATGCATCTTTATAAGCGAAGTGATAGAAGCACCAGGCAGTAGCAGCGACCGCAGCAAAGAAATTTTCTCCCGTAATTTAGTTTTACTCCATGATAGTGATGGTGACAGGTGACAAAATTATGACTGAAAGTAATAGTCGCCCAGCACTTATATGTTGAAGTGTAGTTGTTTATTAGTGCGCTGGTAAATGATTTTGAAAGTATGTTTGCACAACAGACAAGAGTGATAAAGGTGGAGGCATATATGGAAAAAAGAAACCCTACAAGGCTTCCAGTAACAGCGTGGTTTTGTACGAATTTGGTTATGTGGCATAGTAGAGAAGACAAGTGGTGAGTACTGACATTTATTTGAGTAGTTAGATAGGAACAAATATATGTAGATGCAGCAATATAGCTGAAGCAGAAAGGAAAGAAATTAAAACAGACAGAATTCTTCCTATTTGGAAATATTAATAATTAACACAGCAGCATTACTAGTACGAATAGTACGTATTGCAGTGGTGGCTTGTTAAAAATTGTATTGAGAGATATTTATTTTATAACAATAGTGAAATAGTCAAGTGATTGCAAAATAATTTCATAGTGTTTCAAACACATGAAGTGAATCGTAAAATGCCTCTGAGCTCATTGTTATGTGTAAGCATGGCATGAAATTAATTGTGGAATTAGTAAGTCATACGTTTAAATATGATGAAAAAGACAAAGTAAATAGAGTGTAAATAATTAAATAAAAGTAAATTAGTGTTGGGTAGTACTGACAACAGGTTTTTCTCACCTTATAGTGGTATTTCATACTTTGTAGAGAAAATAGGTGATAAATAATGATATGAAGTTTCAAAGGAGTGAAATTGATTGTTTTCCAGTTTTTTTCACATAAACATGAATACTCTTGAGGCCAACAAGTGAACAGTACTACAGTGTCCTTTGATATTGATAATAAGCTTCTGTTTCTTTGCATCTATACAGAACAGTTGCCAATTTAACATGGCTGTTTTAAAGGGGCTAGTAATAAGATGGACATAGGAAGCTGATTAGAAGTGGTTGTAATAACATTTAAAGGCATTTTTATTCGGTGTAGATTTGTTTCGATTTGGAGAAAAATTGTTTTCAGCTAGCATATGGCCCTTTTGGCAACTCTTAGGGACGACTGGAAAGAGCAGTTAAGGAATATAATTAGTAAATGACTACAGATTATAAAGTGGACTTTTGTAGTATGATATAACTTTTTTCTTCAGGATTTGTATTTTGATAATATTGCAAAAATTTAATTGATATTGCTGTTACTTTATAGTGGATTGGTTGTCTGAGAAATTGTGGTTGTGGTGTAGATGGTTGAATAGTTCAAATTACATAAAGGACATGAAGTAAAAATACTGAAGATTTCTTCTTAAGGGATTAGTAGTTAAATTTGAATATGCATATACAAAATAAAGGTCCATAATTATGTTAATAGAACCAAATATTTTTTCAATTGATTATTAAATTCGATTACTATATTCTCATACAGTGATAATTTATTTCATATCCTGTTGAAGAAAATTAAATTAAATTTTGTTAAGTTTGTTTTATAAATGCGTTATGGTAGATTTCAACCTCAGGAAGTATACTTGTTCAATACTTCAAATGTAGGAATTAATGGGATGATATAAATTAGGTGGTAAGATTAAGAGAAACAGAATGTTAATGATAGAGAGAGGGCTGTTTAAGAA